TCTCATCAAACCTTTTAAGTTACTGTTGTAAATTTGATCTCACATAGATAGTTCTTTTTTTTTTTTTTGGTACCTTAGATGAAGGTTTGCAGAACAAATAGTTTCTCATTAAACACTTAGTACACATATTGCCCTATGACAATGGTTAACAACCCCACGACATGTCAACACTGTCCCTTCTCAATCTTGGGTTCCCTATCACCAGCTTTCCACAGGGACAGTTATTTTTGTTAACAGTAGCACTTCTTGAGTCTTCATCAATTTAAAAAATGGTTAGTGAAAAAATAAAGGATTCCAGCATCATCATTCACCTTAGCTTTTCTTATAGAAGAACGTATGTTAATTTAATTCCTTCTAATTTCTTCCAGTTTGTAGTCGCTTTACTTTTGGAAACTGCAAATGCAGATAACCTTAATTTTTGCTTTTGTTTTATCATACCAAGTCCAATGTACCCTACTGTAAGTGTTATGATAGATACACAATAAACATTCAGATATTGCGAGTTAGATAGTATCTAGTCGATGTCGATTTATAAGTTATGTTGATGGCTCCTGCTCTGTGCACGGAGGCCATCCAGGTATGAGAGGTGCATGCTGTCTCAGAGAAAATAAATTGATGACAAGAAAAAGCGTTATCTGACTGTTCCAGATGAGGTCTTTTTCACATGGGAGGTACCAAACACATCAGCCTGGGCCTTTTCAATTTCAGGAGACCACACAGTCTGCTCATCTCTAAACCTGTAGGTGAAATTGTGTTTGCTTTTTGCAGAATTTCTGTTATGTTTAATGTTTTAAAAAGTGTTGTACTCTGAAATACATTGTCAGCATAGTGCTTATTTATTTATTTTTTGTTTGTTTTTACAGTTCTTTTTTAATATGGGTAGAGATATAGAAAGCTCTTTTTTAATACTTTGTAATTTTTTACAGGCACTATTAAAAATTGCGTGTATCATTTGAAACATTTTAAAAAAGCCTTTTATTATCAATTCGGAAATGCAAAATATCTGAAGAACACAATGAATTACAGCTAAAGTAGTATATCCTAGCTTTTCAGCTTTTGGGCAGTAAGAGACAATAGGTCTTATCAGAACTTTAAAATCCTAAATGGGCTTCCCGTCAAAACTTTGTTCCTTTAAGTTGCTGATTTACATAAACTGTAACAAACCGCATAAAGAGAAGTAGAAAATGACATTAAAAAAATTCTTAGAACTCTCAAGATGGAATGTGTTTTAATTATACTAATGTAATTTTGTTATAAACCTTCTTGCTTAAGGATATTTTGTGTATATATTGCTTATGTTTCATTTTCGATGTTGTGACATGAATGAGTAAAATAATTTACTAATTCATAGGTGACACCTTCAGTGGGGAGTGCAGAATTTCAGCCACTTGTACCAGCAGCAACGCTTATATCCGAAGCCTCCCATGACCAGTTTGTGGTTCCAGGTATCCTTTCAGGAAGACTTTTCTACTTTCAAAAAGAAAAATGACACATTTGTCCAGACAGATATTTTGAAATTAGTGTCCAGATAAGAACAAATGTTAATGAAGTAAGTCACAGCACATGATTAGAATGAATATATCAGAAGTTTAACAAAACAAATACTCTTAACTAACAAATGGGAATTTGACCACCAAATGAATAATCTGATTGTCATATGGTTTCCTTATTAGTTAAGCATGCATATTTGGAGTTTGAATGGGGAAACTAGGAACTGATGGATATTAGCTAGCTTGATTTTTTTCCTCGCTTTTGGGAAAACACTTAAAGTTACCACAGTGGTCCACTTTGAAAATGAAGAGACTCTGGTCTGTCAGTATTGTCTAAGACTGTGCTTCTATTTAAAAGCAAACAAAATGTATTGATTCTTGAATTTATTTTATTAGAAAAAGGCTTGCAGATTAGATGGAACTACTGCATCCATGTTAGTTTCCCAATTTTGATAATTGTCCTGTGGTTATAAAAGAGAAAGTTCTTGTTTTTAGAAAAATCTTTTAGGGTTAAAGGGGCATTATGTCTGTAACTTACAGTTAGTTCAGAAGAAGATAGAGATGTAGGTGGGTAGGTAGTAGATAAAATGTGGTAATATGTTAATATTTAATATGTTAATATCTGAGTGAAGATATATGGAAATTCTTTGTGCTCTTGTAAACTTTTCTGTACATCAGAATTTATTTAAAGTATAAGTTTTCTTTAAAAAAGAAATAGAGAGTGAGGATCTTTAGGAGAGTCTTGAGGCAAACTAGCTTCTTGTTAATAGTTCCCTGCTGAGTTGGCTAGGAAAAGTCCACAATCCCATATCTTCAGTTCCAAAATCCAAACATGTCTGAAAGGGAAACTTTTCTCAAAACTCACTTGGTAGCAAAACTTGCCCATACCTGAATACATTTGTCTACAAAGCCTGACCAGTGCTGAGTTGAAGGTATATTTACTCTTTCATTTTTCCTACTTACCGTATTATGCATGTGCTGTACACTACCAAAGAAAACAAACCTGTTGCTGTCCAGTTGATTCTGACTCGTAGTGACCGTATGAGATAGAGTAGAACAGCCCTATAGGGTTTCCAAGGAACGACTGGTGGATTCGAACTGCTAACCTGCCACCAGGGCCTACAGAAATATTTAGTTCATTACGAGGTGTTGCCCGCAGTCCCACTGGGGTGTTAATTAATGTATGGTATATGGACCTTGTTATTCTTCTAAAATCCAAAAATCATTTAAATTCTGAGGATTGTGGACCATATAATTGTTCCTCCTTGTCTGAATGCTTGGGGCACAAAGCGTGTCTCCTCTTCTGTCGTAGCTCGTCTACTCTCACCCAGGACAGATGTGCATAAATCTGCACACACACATTCATACACATGCGTGTGCATGCACGCATACACACATACACACACACACACAGTAGAGGTAAAGAACAGGAGGAGGAGTGGAACCCCCTGGCCGCAAGGTCAAGATGAGCGGAGCAGCTAGGGAAATTCCCCAACCAGCTCTCTTTGGCATTTTTAGGTACTTCCCTCTGATTCTAAGAGCTTGTGAATATTGTACATAACCACAAAGCAAATAAAATGGAAATAATTTTTATGCTTTTTTTCAATAATAGGTCAGCATGAAACTACATCACCACAGCCACCTCATGATTCATCCATTTCTGCTCTTCTGCCAAAACAGTGTGTTTTGGTCACTCCCTCTCTTCTTTCAGCAATATGCAGCCTCTTAGACAACCTCTTGGTGATTGCTCCAAGAGACACTGCAAATGCTCTTCGACAAGCCCATCTCATCAAGCTTCTATGCGGGTAAGAGAGAGATTCCGCACAGTACCACGGCAATGGAGATCAGTTTGTGCAAGTATATTCATGACTCGATAGAGGCCTTCTTGTGTCCTAGGAATATAATCATTATCTTTCTGTAGGCCTGTTAGACTCCAGGCTTTTGCTTTTGTCATAACTGTCCTGACGGTTTTTATTTTAGATTAAGAGGCTTGTGTTGGCTCGTTATGTTGACTGTTAAGGCAAAAAATAAATCTTGATTTTTAAAGTTCAGTGTTTTTAAATCTTATTTCTCCTTCAGTACTCAAGGAATTTTTGATGTAAACCCCTCAGTCATTCTTTCTTTTTTTTTTTTTTTTAACAGCTTTATTGAGATATAATTCATATATTGTACAATTCACCCATTTAAGGTGTACAGTTCAGTCATTTTAGCATATTCACAGATATGTGCAACCATTACCACAGTCAATTTTAGAATATTTTCATTACGTCAGAAAGAAACACCACGTTTTAGTTTTGACTCCCCTTTCCCTCTTTTCCCCCAACATCCTAAGCAACTACTAATCTACATTCTATCTATAGATTTTCTAATAATGTAACCATATAGTATATGGTCTTGTGACTGACTTCCTCACTTAGCATAATGCTTTCAAGGTACATTCATATTGTAACATGTTATCAGGACTTAATTACTGTTATGGCTGAATAATATTCCATTGTATGGATATGCCACGTTTTGTGTATCCATTCATCTGTTGCTGGACATTTAGCTTGTTTCCACCTTTTGGTTATTATGAATAGTGCTGCAATGAACATTTGTGAATAAGTTTCTGTGTAAAAATATGCTTTCATTTTTCTTGGGTATATAGGAGTGGAATTCCTGGATCATATGGTAACTTTAATTGTCTGGGGATCTGCCAAACTGTTTTCCAAAGCAGCTGCACTACTTTAGATTCGCACCAGCAATGTATGAGGGTCTTGATTTCTGCACATCCTCTCCAACTCTTGTTGTTATCTGACTTTTTGATTCTGGCCATCTTAGTTGGTGTGAAGTGGTTTCTCATTGTGGGTTTGACTTGCATTTACCTGATGACTAATGATGTTGAGCATCTTTTCATGTTCCTGTTTGTCATTTGTATATCCATTCAGCAATATCCTTTCAGAGCCTTTGCCCATTTTTAAATTGGGTTATTTATCCTTTTTATTAATTAGTTTTATAGTTTTAGCTCTTACATTTAGGTGTTTCATTCTTTTTGAGTTAATTTTTTTTATATGGAGTGAGGAAAAGGTTTGACTTCATTCGTGTATGGAGAGCCAGTTGTCCAATCACCATTTCTTAAAAAGACTTCTATTTCCCCATTGAATGATCTTGGCATCTTTGTTGAAATCAATTGGCTTTAGATATATCAGTTTATTTCTGGGCTCTCAGTACTATTCCATTGATCCAGATGTCTGTCTTTGTGCCAGAACCACACTGTCTGATTATTGTTGGTAAAAATGGCATGAGGGCGATATCTGACCTCCTCCAACTCCACGAAGGGGAAGGAGAACCAAGATAATAGTGCAGGGCTGACTCACGTGAGGTGGAGGACAGACAATCCTCCTCTCTCCACCATCTTTACTAATTCTGACACCAGCCATCCCTCATGCAGCACTTTCTACTTCTCTCCTGGGTTTAATAATTCATTGCAGTGGCCACACAGAACTCACAGGCAATACTCATGATTATGGGGTTTATTAGGGAACAGTTACATTTCAGGCTCAGGAACACTCAGGATACAGTTCCTCCATCAAGATAGCCTCTTCCCAGCTGTGTTCTCAGGCACGCCTCTCCCTGGCCCTAAATCTCTGCCCAAAGGCACTCAGCTTTTGTCTCCTTAGGCTGGGAAGCCTCCCGGGTCGCTGCTGCCAAGTATCTCCTGCCACCGCTTCTCACCGTCTTCAGGGTTATCTCTCTCTCTTTCTGTTTCCTGTTTCTAGGAGCTTCTCATGGCAGGATCCTAGGTCCAAAGGATGCGCAGTCTGCTCCTGGCTGTTCTTCCTTGGTGGTGGTAGGATCCTCCTCTCTGCTCTGGAATTGGCTCTCTTTTAAGGCAAAACGGACCAATCCCCTTGGTAGGCCACAATTACCCTATCACACAATCCTGCCCAATCACTTGGGTGGAAGTTACAAGACTATGACTTGAAAGGCCACACACAAAAGTAATTAATCCACCGCACCTTTCCTTTATAGTAGGTTTTGAAATCGGGAAGTGTGAGTCTTCCTACTTTATTCTTCTTTTTCTTTTCCAGGTTGTTTTTGCTATTCTGGTTCCCTTGCAGTTGTGTATGAATTTTAGAATCACCTTGTCAATTTCTACAAAGAAGTCAACTGGGATTCTGATAGGGATTGTGTTGAATCTTTAGATCAATTTTGGAAATACAGGCAGTTCTAGTTTACGAACGAGTTCTTTAAGTCTTTAAGTTGAATTTGTATGTAAATCAGAACAGTTAGGTACGGTTCTTATTTAACAGTTAGTCAAGTGTTTGTGTTAGTATATAGTATATAGTGTACTTTTTAATGCATAAAAACAGTAAACACTTCAGATACACTAAAAAATCTTTAACATAATACCATACCCATTGCTGTCTAGTCGATTCTGACTCGTCCCGACCCTGAATGACAGAGTAGAACTGCCCCATAGGGTTTCCAAGGAGCGGCTAGTGGATTCAAACTGCTAACCTTTTGGTTAGCAGCTGAACACTTGACCACTGTGCTACCAGAGCTTCCATTAACATAATAATACAGTAATAATAATAAGAATGTTTTACTGTGTGTTGCAAAGTAACATCTGTTTGTTATTACGAACCATTTGTATGTACCTCGAATTTTTACATATATTATTAATGTGACCCTAATTGCTCTCCCTATACTGATTTCCCATGTCCTGTCAACCAGCTCCTAACCCTCTCTGCCTTCTCATCTCACCTCTGCTGAATTTTTAATATAATAGACTTTACAGGGATTGGTTCTTAACTACGGATTGTACATAAGTCATATGTTCATAACCTGGGGACTGCATGTATTGCCATGTTAAAAAAGAAAGTCATCCAATTCATGAACACAGGATGCTTTCACATTTATTTAGGTCTTCTTTTTTTTTCCCCCATCAATGTTTTGTAGTTTTCAGAGTGTAAGTTTTGCCCTCCTTTTGTTAAATTTATTCCTAAATATTATTTTTTATGCTATTGTGAATGTAATTTTTTTTTCATTTTTGGATATTTCATTGCAAGTATATAGATATACAGTGAAAGCCAGAACTCAGTGGGACTGCCTTGTTTTTCCAGGTCTTACAACTTTTCCACCTTTGACAGTCTTACCGCTTTTCTGTCATTCTCTATTAATGGAAAATATTTTAGTTTCCCTTCTCTGACAGGTTTCAGCCTTTCATAGGTTCTGGCTTTCACAGGTTTTACGGTACTATTATTTTTGTGTATTTATCTTGTATTCTGCAACATTGCTTAACTCTGTTATTTTTAATGAATTTGAAGGACTTAGGGGATTCATCTCTCTAGTGATTATATGAGAATAATGTCTCTGAGCTGAAAAATTATTGTTAGTCATTTGCGATTATTTTGTTATGGAACACTCAACTTTTCATCAGAAAGTATTTTGATAAAATTTGGGGAAATCATAATTTGATCCTTTGAATTTTTACTACTCATATATCTAATATTAATAGCCTCTGACATAATTATTTCTGATAATTTCATTGGTTATATAGTAGAGTAGAAAATGCCTAAATGTTGAATTCAGAGTGAACTGAGGTCTAATTATAGTTCATTTACTTAGTAGCTTTGTGGCCGTGGAAAGTTACTTTAATCTGTCTATAACACCACCTGGTGTTAATGTGAAGATTAAAGTGATAATGTCTAGAATACCCCCTTATCTATACTAAGTGTTGATTCTCTTCTTTTCCTGGCATCCAGTTAACTCGAGCCAAGCATACCTACCTCCTTTTAACCATGCATTCATTTGTATTCCTCTTCTCCTCCGTCTCTTTACCTCTTAATGTTCACTGTCTGAAATGTTTTCTGGAGATATTAAGAAAACTCTAAGAAGAAAGACGCATTCCTTATTATACTTCACTCAATTGTGATTACTGTTTTATTTTACCATTTATAATATAGAATGAGTTGTGAATTTCCTCTCCTTTTTGTATTTGTCATCGTCCTTTCTACTATAGTGCCTGTCAGAGTTGGAAAAAGAAACTGTTAGTTGATTGACTTTCCTTCTTGAATGCTTCCTGCCTCAAGAATGAACAAAATGGAGCTTTAGGAATATTCTTGCTTTGTAAGAGTCAGCTAAGAGTCTTCTGTGGCATTTAGGCTAGAATGGTATTAAAGGATCTTTTATCACAAAGGCTTATCGTATTGCCATACCTGTTTATTTCTGACCTAAAAAAAACTTCCCTACTTGTTTGTTTCACTTTGTTTTATTTTTTTACTTTCTAAATTGGAACTTGGACATGGAATGAGGGGTATCAGTGCTGGTGTGATGTCGGATGGATCTTGGCTGAAAGCAGAAGATACCAGAAAGATGTTTACCTGTGTTTTATTGACTACACAAAGGCATTCAACTGTGTGGATCATAACAAATTACAGATAACACTGGGAAGAGTGAGAATTCCAGAACACTTAATTGTGCTCAGGAGGAACCTGTACATAGACCAAGAGGCAGTTGTTTGAACAGAACAAGGGAGTACTCTGTGGTTTAAAGTCAGGAAAGGTGTACGTCATAGTTTATCCTTTCACCATACTTATTTAATATGTATGCTGAGCAAATAATCTGAGAAGCTGGACTGTATGCAGTAGAACATAGCATCAGGATCAGAGGAAGACTCATTAACAACTTGCTATATGCAAATAATACAACCTTGCCTACTGAAAGGAAAGAGTACTTGGAGCACTTACTGATGAAGATCAAAGACTGTAGCCTTCAGAATGGATTACATCTCAATGTAAAGAAAACAAAAATCCTCACAACTGGACCAGTAAGCAATGTCATGATAAACAGAGAAAAGATTGAAGTTGTCAAGGATTTCATTTTACTTGGATCCACAATCAATGCCCATGGAAGTAGCAGGTCCAAAAATCAAACTTTGTATCGCATTGGGCAACCCTGCTGCAAAAGACCTCTTTAAAGTGTTAAAAAGAAAAATTGTCATTTTGAGGACTAAGGTGCACCTGACCCAAGCCATGTTATTTTCAGTTGTCTCGTATGCGTGTAAAAACTGGACAATGAATAAGGAAGATCAAAGAAGAATTGATGGCCTTGAATTATGGTGTTGACAAAGAATATTGAATATACTATGGACTACCAGAAGAATGAACAAATCTGTCTTGGAAGAAGTACAGCCAGAATGGTCCTTAGAAGCTAGGATGGTGACACTTCGTCTCACATACTTTGGACGTGTTATCAGGAGAGCCCAGCCTCTGGAGAAGGGCATCATGCTTGGTAAAGCAGAGGGTCAGTGAAAGAGATTAAGACTCTCAATCAGATGGATTGACACAGTGTCTGCAACAGTGGGCTCAAACATAGCAACGATTGTGAGGATGACACAGGACCAGGAACTGGACAGCATTTCATTTTGTTGTACATGGGGTCACTATGAGCCAGAAGCAATCGATGGCACTTAACAACAACAGCAAATTGGAACTTATTTTCTTGCCACAAACATACTACTCTTGTTTGCTTTTCTTCTGAAAAGACTGCATTATATTTTATTCTCCTGTTAAGGTTTGATTAGGTATTCATTTTTTAAAAATTCTTTGTTTCTCACATTTGTCTGATAAGAACTTTTACTGTTTTCTGAAATTTTGCAGAATATCTTTTTATCAACATTTTCTTTATTTAAAAAACGTTTCTCTTAATCTATTCAAGGTTAACTTCAAACTGCAAATTCAAATTTATTAATCTTTAATAAGGAGCATTCTAATTGTCTAAGGGGTTTTCTTTTTCTGTCTGTGTTAGTATTGCAGCTCCTGCCCTCATAGAAAAGTGTGTCCAGGAACTCAGGACCTCCCTGCCTTCCTCGTCTCCAGTTGAACACACTCTGGCGCAGGTGAATTTCCCACTCCCGCCTTTGTGCATTGTGTCTCTGTGTGTGAGTCTTCACTTTAAGTGCGAAAAACAGACATTCTGCTGAGGAGATAGTAACCATAGGAGGGGAAGGAAAATCTTTTCAAATATACATGGTATGATGAGGTTATTTAAATTCAAACCAAACCAAACCCGTTGCCATCAAGTTGATTCCGACTCATAGCGACCCTATAGGGCAGAGTAGAACTGCCCCATAGGGTTTCCAAGGAGCACCTGGTGGATTCAAATTGTCGACCTTTTGGTTAGCAGCCAAGCTCTTAACCACTGCGCCACCAGGACTCCTTTATTTAAATTAAGTTACTTAAAATTTTAATCTGAGACATTTTTGAATGATAGAAAGG